GCTCTTCACCTACAATTTCGGTGAAGCATCTTAAATTTAAATGGTATGATTAAAACAAACTACAGCATATTTTATTGGTCTGAGAAAATACACACAACCAGAACTATGTCATATTCTGTGCTGTTTGTGTATGCTCTCAAAGTACAGTATTAGTATACAAGCTATAAAGGCAATGAAACAGTTGATTCCAGGAAAAGGTGCTTTGATTGTAAAACATTACATTTGCAGTGACACCATTTCTACTTAGAAACTGCAGATACAGTTGCTTCTGATAGATTAAACTAATTAACCACTCTGCAGGCTGCCACAAAGGTCTATATGGGAGCTCAGAGAGACTCAAGTGGTGAATAAGCCATTAGTTCTCTCCAGAGGAATTAATTTTGATATGCATGTCTTTTATCACTGCTAATCAACCATGATACACAGTCTTTCTGCCAAACTCCCTGAGATACATGGGCAGACTTCTGCAGAGTCATGAAAAAACATAATGTACTTTGTCTCCCTGTCCAAGTAGGCAGCAAAAGTGAGCAGTGAACTGCACACCACCAGCATGCAGGACAGGCTAGCAACTTGGTGGTTGGCTCATGACTCATTCAGTATATGAGAACAGTGAGGACTGCTGTAGGGAAAGAAGAGCAGACGTGGTAAGAAGAGGAGAATGTAAAAAGAAAAGGTATTTCCTTTTACAATGATAGAGAGCATAGCAAGCAAAAACTTGTAAAGAATAAGAAAATAGAAAAATGGAGGAATGAAGCATCACAGAACAGGACAAACATGAAGGCTGACAAAGGCCCCTGAAAATATAGTATTTCAGGCCTACATCGCGTGATATTTGTAAGAAATGATTCACTCAAGTTTATTGAATCTGCTTACCTATTGCAATAGCCACATGACAACGATTAGAGGCAAGCTCAGAGCAAACACCGCACCATTAAAATTTAGAGTATGCCATGGAAGATTTCTCATATCTTCTTGAAAGCAGGAATAGGTTGGTGCTTTCTATTTTAAGTGGGAAAACCATATTATATATACCATTATTTCCTATAACCAAGAAAGGCCATTTCATTATTTTGGTAGTTGTGTGTATCTGAATTTTGGCTAAGATGTGGACTTATCTTCATGTTCTCCCATAAGGCTCATGTAGCATCTGGGATGAAGGTGAAAGCCTGTGTACCATCTTATATATTAGCTTTAATTATCCAGTAACAGTTGCATCATAGAATAATTTCTAAAATGGACACTTGCATTCGCCTAACCACTTCTCTTAGATATATCCTTAGTAATTCAGCTATCATTAAACATAACAGAGCTCTGCCTGTGTAAACTAACCTTGGCAATCAAGGTCTAAGCAACTAGATTTTCAGAGCACAGGCATTATATTTATGATACTTTTGTGGGCATTTTTTTTTTAAAATATCCACTTCATATGAGAAAAGCAGACCACTTTTTTTTTTTTTCTTATGCTTATATATTTAGTATGTTTTAGCATTTCTTTAGCACAGTGCCTAATAGGGAACAGAAGTGACAAGGTTTCATTTGCCCTTCTAATTAAAAATTTTAGTGTCAGCACAGACCAGAACTGCTCAAAATTTGATTAAGAAAATTAAATAAACAGTTGTATGAGGGAGCTGGAGATTTTTTCCTTAATTTTACTTCATTAGCAGAGGCATTGTGAAAGTTTTCACTAAGATTACAGCCCTAGGGCATGCTCACAGAGAAAAATCTAGAAAACATTCTACAACTATACCTCAAAAACTCTAACCAGAAGGGAAATGAAGATTTGCTTATGGAAATGCCAAATTGAACACCTGAATATTTCTAGCTGGCCCCAGGCACAATAAGATGCACTCCCAACAAATGCAAGTGCCTCACAAGAATTTTTGTAACGTCAGCCCTAACTTCTTTCCTAAATGAATCTTTCTTCCATACAGAGCCCCACTAACTCCAGTGCAGCCCTACCTATCTGCAGGCAATGCTGCTCCAGTCTCTGCCGAACCAAGGGTGAAGTAGGGTCCCACACTTCCATACATTTATTTGATGTGTTTATTATCAATCTTTACTACTGCTGCACCAGATAGTCAAGCTAAGTATCTTTCTATGTGACAGATTTCATAGTTTGATTTCTAATATATACAGGTAGCATGTTAAATAACTCAAAACTTCTTCAGAAAATCAAACTACTGGGTTATGTGCCTAACTTTAGGAGCCAATTCAGGCACCCATTTTTACCTTTTTTTCCATCAAACATAGTCTGAAATTTCATCAGAAAATGTTGTAAGTTCTTATACTCGACTTATTCTTTGGCTCTTCTAAGCACATATTTGGAGTCTGTTATCCTGGTGGCTGTGCAAACAGATTAAACATTGAGATTTCCTACATAATATATGCTACAGGAAAGTGATAAACATGCAATGTAAGTGATAAATATACAAGGCACAACATGTGACGTGCCCTTGCGGCAAAGAAGGCCAACAGCATCCTGTGCTGTGTTAAAAAAAGCTTCACTAGCCCGTCAAGAGAGATGGTGCTTTCCCTCTGCTCAGATGTGGCATCACAGGTGCTGCAGTGCTGTGTCCAGTTCTGCACTTTCCAACACACAGGACATGGACACACTGGAGCAAGTCCAGTGAAAAGTTGACAACATGATTAAGAGACAGGAACATCTGTCATCCAAAGAGAGGTTGAGAGAGCTAGGACTGTTTAGCCTAGAGAACAGAAAGCTCCAGGGGATGTTATCAATATGTATGAACAACTGATGAGGTGAGTAAAGATGACAGAGCCAGACTTCTCAGTGGTGTCCAGTAACAGAACCTGAAGCATTGGGCACAAGTTGAAATACCAGAAAGTGTTTAATCATCAACAAAGCACCTTTCTTCCTGTGAGGGTGACTGAAAACTGGAATAGGATATTCAGAAGTCCAGCTAGAAACAGTCCTGTGCAACCTGCTCTAGCAGACCCTGTTTTGAGCAAGTGAGTTGGTCTAGACCATCTCCAGAGGCATCTTCCAGCCTCAGTCACTCCACACGTCTAAACTGCCCAGAGTTTTAAACTCCTGGGAGCACAGGTAGGAATTACCAGAGGAATTCCAGTTCCAAAGGTAAGACAGTGGAACTGACCAGTAGCTTTGCTGTAAAGGTATTAGAAATATTGCCTATATTGATCAGCTGCTAAACAAACGAAAGCATTGTTGAAATGCACCTCTAATATCAGGCTCCCAAGACATGAAAGCAATTTCAAGCAGGTGGCTGCTCTGATACAGATTCTTCAAACCACACTGCACAGCACCATCTTCTGGTGATCTGAAGTTGGATTTTTTTTTCTTTCAGGCTTTGAGAAAAAAGCACTAACCGTATCAAAGATAACATTACCAGTTCTTGTATGAAAATTAAGTTTTAAAATATGCAATTTAAAATAAACAACATGTTTGGTGACTTCCATGTTTTATATATTTTTTAACCCGTTATCCCTAGAAACACACAAGTGAAAAAAATATACTTTAAAATGTCTTACCCTCTTCATCAAGAAGACCAGGCATCAACCTTGTTCTGATTTCTGAAAGTAAATAAAAATACATACTGCTCACATAATAAGCAATGAAATATCAAAGTATATATCACAATGCAATTTTCTTCTGAGATTGTATGTGGACTCTCAGCAACAAGGTGAAGGTCTGCTTTCTGGAAGAGCCTTTGGATGAGCTTTAGAATATGGGAAGTAAGAACTGTTGAGCTTGCTCTGGCACAAGCGCAAAGGCATACCCATGAAAAATACAAATGTGCTGAGTAGATCATGGACACATTGCTTTAACTGAATCTCTGTGAGCAGGCTGAACAAAAACACGCAAGCTAGAATTTATACTTGGAAAATAAGCCACTCTGAAGTACTCTGCTTATTAGCTTGCTACACCAACAAATAACCTTACTATCATGACATTTCCTTTTTATTTGTTGAACTTTCCATCAAGATGAAACCAGTCAAGAATTTGACACCAGTTACTTGATTATGCAATCACTTTTCAATTACCTCTGCTTTCTTGCAGAACTGACTTAACCAGTAAAAGTCAGACTTAGTATCTGGTCATTTCCCAGATTGGCACACAAGCATTTTTAACTAGACTCTGAAAACAGAACAAAGGAATAAATACACGAAATAGGAAAATTCTAGACAACAGAACCATGAATGCTTTGGAATATAGGAAAGGTTCTAACTTGCTTTGCCATGTAAAATGCAGTTTCTCACAATGGTACATGTGAAAGCTTTCTTTCCAATGTAGTAGCACTAGTGTAACCAAAGTAAAGTCAGTATATCTAAGCTGCTTTTTTTAATACAACCAACACCTTTAGAAAAGAAATGAATCCACATACCTCTTTGTTTTGAAATTAACTGCTCTATGGGGAGTGTGAGATACCCCATAGTGCTGTAACCATGCTACCGCAACACTCTGGGGTTTTACTGCTCTGCAGGAGGCCTTCTGCAGTCACTATCACATTCAGAGGCACCAACTGGCCTAGCTTTCCTCAGGATTTACCAGCCCGGCACTATTTTCAAGCTAAGGCACCACAGACAGAAGACGAGCTGAGCACCGCCGCCTCAACTTTGCTATAGCAAGAGCAGGGTGAGGCGGGTGGGGGGGGGGGGGGCGGCAGCTGCGCAGGCTGCCCTGGGGCGCCGCACGAACCGAGGACGGAAGAGCCTCCGGGCGCCCCGGAGCCCGCCAGCAGCCGAGCCCGCCTCACGGAGCGCCGGCCCCTGAAGGCACGGCCAGAGAAGGCGTGAGGAGGCTTCGAGGAGAGCCCTGAGGGAGGGAGGGAGGGGCGCGTGGGAGCGCGCGCCCACCCCGCCTCCGCCTAACGGCTCCCCGCTTCCCGCCGCCCGCCTTTTAAAGGCTTCGGTGACGTCACGCTGGCGCGGGCGGTCGTTAGACGCGCGACGCCCCCTGCCGGGCCTCTGAAGGGGGGCGGGTGGAGGGCGGGGGCGGCGCGCAGGCGCAGTGCGGGGGCGGGGCGGGGCTGGCGGCGGTCGCCGGTCGCCGGTGGCGCGAGGTCGGGTCCGGGGCCCGGGCCGGTTTCCCCATGAGCAGGCGCTGCCCGCCGGCCGCCGCCTCGCTGCTGCGGGGGCTCGGCGGCTCTGCCGCGCTCTGTCTGGGCAGGAGCATGAGTCTTTGCGGGGCGCCGGCCGCCTGCGCCGCGGGGCCTGCGGGCGGCGGTGGCGGCGGCGCGGGCTCCTCCTCGGCGCGGCTGAGCCCGCCGTGGCTGCGGCTGCCGGACGTGCCGGGCGCGGAGCCGCACCGGGCCAACGACCTCCTCCTGCTGCTGCCGCCGCCGCCACCGGCCCCGCGCGGCCCGGCCCCGCCGCAGCATCACGTTGTCTACTTCCCGGGGGACGTGCAGGTACGGCGGGGCGGGCGGCCGAGGGTGATAGGCGATGGCGGGCGGGGGCGGGAGCGGGGAAGCGGCGGGGACCGCACCGGTTCTCCCTGAGGTGAGGGGCGGCCGGGACCCCGGCGGGGCGAGTCGGAGCTCCGCCCTGGGGGAAGCATCTCCTGGGCGCTCTCTGCCCGTTACCGCCCGGTAAACGTGGGGGGAATGGGCCGTTCTTGAAACCTGACCTGCAGCAGCAGCAGTGGAAGGGGTAGTCCTCTTCTGCAGTACCGCCCGAGGTTGACGTTTCTGGCGGGGACGGCAGTATCTGACACGGTATAAGAGAGTGTCTGTGGAGAGAAGACGACGACATCCTAAAATGGCAAGTTGGCCTCGTCAGGCTTAGCACCGTGTCTCTGTGCAGGTGTACAGACATCCCAGACACCGTCCTGCAGGTCTTTCCCAGGCGCTGACGCTTTCTCGGTGTGTCCTGAAGGCACATCTTGTCTCTGAGGTGACAAGAAACTGAAAAAAGACTCTGAAGTGCTGTCTCTAAGCATGTGGTCGACCTCTGCAGCGTTACCTACTCTGGTGCTCTGGGTAGTCGGCTCATCTCAAAAGCAGGGGTCGTCTTGTTCTAAGCAAAAGGCTTTCCTGTGTGGTAAAGATGCAGCACTTGGTGGAGTTTCATTTTAAGGATTAGGGTGGCCTAAGAAAACCTTTCTGATTACCATTCCTGGGTATGGCTTTATTATTCCTTAATAAAGCTAATTAGTATTCTCTGCTATTCTCTGCCATCATGAATTCAGGGGTGAGGATCATTCATGACTTGGGGGTTAATTTTTTTCCATCTGTGCCCCATATGGATGTGAACAAGTAGAATAAAGACTCCCTGCAGCTGAATGAGAGGGAATCTTTTTATTCCTCTATAAAAGATAGAAAAGTTATTACAAAGTTTTAAGTCTACTGTTGGTTTGTAATAAGATAATCAGTATTTCCACAGATGGAGATGATACAGGGAAATAATGTATTCTGTGTCATACGAAGTTGAGTAATACTGTAATCCTCTCTTGGAGTGCAGTCAACAAAAATTATGAATACCTCCATGTGCTTATTTTTATTGTACTAATTTTGGGGGTATTAAAAATGTGTGATAGAAATATTAAAGTAGAATAAATACATTTAAATATGCCAGTTTCTTTAATGTGTTTGTTGTTTTGGAAGCCTAGCAAGTGAGCACCTCTTTAATGCATCTCTGTTAGTTACAGTCCTTTCTTATGAATGTAAGTACACGAGACAGAGCTGAAACCTTTTCACAATGTAGTAATGGATCTTTTCTATTTTTTTTTTTTCATTTTTTGTTTTTCCAGAACTATCATGACATCATGTCTTGCCACCCAGAAAACTTTCAGTGGGAGCAGTGGAGTTTTGAAAATGTTGCTACCATACTTGCTCGCCGGTTCCCTAATAGCTTTATTTGGGTTGTAAAGTGTTCTCGAATGCACCTGCACAAATTCAGTTGTTATGACAACTTTGTGGCGAGCAACATGTTTGGAGCACCAGAGCACAGCACTGACTTTGGAGCTTTCAAGCATCTCCATGCACTGCTAGTTAATGCATTCAGACTCTCTCAGAATATTCTGCCATCCCAGAAAAGTGTGCATGGTGTCAGCAAGGATGCAAAAATAGCTGCTGGTAAATCACAGCCACAGTCTGTTCCTACAACAAATGGCTGCTCATCCACAGAAGAGAGAGATTACGAATGCTCTAATCATTCTGCTATGAACTTCATTATACCGTCTGCTGTAGGTGCAGTGTCATTTACTTTGATTGGCTTCAGTAAAGGTTGTGTGGTTTTGAACCAGCTCCTTTATGAGCTGAAGGAAGCCAAAAAAGACAAGAATACAGATGCCTTCTTAAAAAACATAAAAGCAATTTACTGGTTGGATGGTGGTCACTCAGGAGGAAGCAATACTTGGGTTACTTACCCTGAAGTGCTGAAGGAACTTTCAGAGACAGGAATTGAAGTTCATGCTCATGTTACACCATACCAAGTGTTTGACACAATGAGGTCATGGATTGGGAGAGAGCATGAGAAATTTGTACAGATACTTGAAGAATTTGGTGTGGAAATAAATGATCAAATACATTTTGCTGATGACGTTCCATCCTTAGATAACCATTTCAGAGTTCATGAAGTATTTTGAGACTGTATGTATCTGAATAGTATATTGATTGTAGAAGCACTTTTAACACTGTAAACGTTGTAATCTAGATTTACAACTTTGAGCAGAGGCTTTCTGAAGAGTATACTAATTCAGTCCTGCATTGCTAATAGATACTATATATAAATTTCAGTAGTTTAAGAAGGAGGATTGGGACCGCATACCTACAACAGATGTTATCAATTTGATTCCTGGAAAACAGTGTTATGAAGAACTGTCCTATACATGTTTTTTTTGTTAAATGTGGACGTTTATTCTCAAACTGCTGGCAAAATGTCTACTGTCGTATACTGCCTTTAATGGGAGTTTAAAGGACTCTAGACTTTCAAATGCCTGGATACTTCAATTTAGTAGCTTCCAGGGCTAAAAGCTTTGATCTTTGTCAGTAACAGAGAGAAGGATGGGTTTTTTTCGCTCAAGGAAAGTGATGATTGTTAGAACAATCTTAGTTATATATTTTGGTGAAAACTGGTTTAGTTAGTTAACTAAATATTCCATTTTTGCAACACTTCTCCTAATTGAAACAAAGTCACAAATACTTACCTTTGGAATAACAGTGCCCATCCATTTTTCTTCCTGTGTGCACCTTGCCTTTTCTGTTTCTGTAAAGTTTCATTAATTCATTGTAAAGTATCAGCTAGTGAATAGCCATTTCACCTGGGGCTTGAAAATTTTGACATAGCTATGTTAAGTGACCAAGAATATTGAGGAGGGTGTAGCTTACTGCTGTTTTAACATAGCTTGCTATTGCTTTGACTAACTTTTATAAGGACCAGCACTAATATCTGTATTTTCAAATCAAGAGGTATTTTTGTCCCTACCTTGGACTGGTGAGGTCAAAATGCTTCAGTTTTTAAAACTATTATCGCCTTTAAATATATTGCAGTAGTGGCTTCTAGAGCTGCCCAAAAAGCTATTTTCAGAGCCTAATTTTTCATACAGAAAAACACATACTCCCAGTTAAATATGAAGCTGGACAAATCAGCTGCAACAGATGTAGTCTAGTTCAGGCCCCAAACCTGAATGTTCTTCTGAAGGAAGTATTACTGAAAGATGGACAAATGAGGGTATTAGTGGAACTTTTCTACGGTTGTAAGTAACTTCCCATTTATCTACAAATAAATCTTAGAATTACTCTTAAAGACAACTTTAGCTATTAACAGTGAACCAGTAGCTTAAAATGGTTTTGGATTTCCTGGAAGTACAGGAATACAAAAGCAAATTAGCAAACCACTGTGAAGATTACACAAAAGATGTGGCTCAGCTCTGAAAAAAGGCATTTTATTCAATTTTGTTTGTATGTTTGATGGTGTAGCAACATCTTCCCCCTGCTTCTTGCTTCCTGTGACTCTTACACTGTGGAAGGAATGTCTTGGGTCATGTTTCTGCTATTGGCATCATTAAAACTTACAAGGTTCACTGGAAACAGTATTTTCACAGCTCTTGCAGAGGTTGTGCATGTGTTAATGATCACTGAAGGATAAGAAAAGTGTCTTGGACTCGTAAGAAAATTTTCTTAAAACATTAAAGGTAGTAGAAAAGATTATGCATATAGTGTGCACCTTGTAATGTGAAAGTGAACTGTATCGCTAATAATAATTAGGCTAATGTACCTGGTTAATCAAAAGGGGGAATAATCTATTTTAATTGATGGAGAAAAGTGCAACATGCAAACCAACTCTAACATTTTATAAACAATCTGAAATATTATTCTGACTGCCATGTGCTTTTTTTTAAAGCTCTTTCTTGGAGACTTTGTTCACCCCTATTTATCAATTACCTTCTTAATGGTGTTGGTATAACTTAAAGGTTATAAGTCCTTAATGGGCTTATAACAACTTGTTTATGTGTTCCAGGGAAGCCTATTTCCCTTCTTTGTCCTTTTGATAATGTGGAATATGCAGTGACTTTTTTCTGTAAAGGAAATATGGGTCATGTAACAAAGTGATTTTAATAGAAGGCCTACAAATTGCTTGAAATACCTTTAACTATTACAAAATAAAGTTTAAAAAAATAAACAAAAAAACCCAAAATGCACCACTGATCTTGCTCCCTCTCAGTTTCATACTGACCAGGCTAACTGGGATATGCTAAAACTTGCCCTATCCACTAACACTGCTGATCACAGACCAATTTCTAAACAATTCTGTGCCAGCCAAAACAGCAGGAGTAGGTTGTTGGAAAAATCTTTTGGAAACAGCTATTAAAATACTGACGTTGTCTTCAGAAGTTTCTGGATGGCTGTCCTATGAAAGTAACATTAACCTGTTTCATGGAGGCTGCTTACAATAGCTTAAATAAAATAGGCTCAAGTGTTGCTGTATGAATTTGAAGAATAAGCACTTTGTTGTAAAACTAATCTTGTTGTGAGACCTCATGTTGTGGAGGGAAAACGGACTGGTTGTTTTTCATTCTCTAAACAGTTGTAGTACTCTGTTGGAATGTGTCTCTGTCATTCAGTACAATGCATGCTAAAAATAAATTTTGCAAACTATGTAGAAAATAAAATATTTCTAATGGGTGAAACCACTTTGTGAATGTAAAACTATTAAACAAGGAATGTGAAGTTAAGTTCTGTGGATTAAGCTTTATCAGGTGTTTGTGGAGACCTACTTTTAAAAAATCAGATTTATTTGATAGCTTTTCTTCACGGAGGCTTTGCATTTGTGTAGTTGGCATCTTTAATTCTAAAACAGCTTACTAGCATATCACATACATGGAAAAGCTGGCACGGAGCACCCAAGGGTGTGAACATTTTTATGTTAGGATGAAATGGGTCATAGTTAGTATATGCCTGTTTTTCAATGATAACTGTAAAGGCAGTTTTTAATAAGCTTTAATGCAAATACCTAAAGTTAAGTGATTCTCATGCTTACAGTGGTTTAGTTCAAGACATCTCATTTTTTAATAGAGTGAGCAACTTTACAGTATCCTTAGTTCAACATAGTATGCAATAGCTGGTATTCTTTATATTACGTTCTTGTTTCTTGTATAATAGACAAGACATTCTTCAGATTTTGAGAAATGCTAAAATGTTTTCATCTGTACCGGTTAAATTCCTTTAAAACAAGGCCTGATTCTGTGAAATTGTCCAGATTCTGTATGACTTGAATGATTTTATTTTGTGTGCATCTTAGAAACTTTGGTAGCCTTCTTCCTACCTAGGACTAATTTAATTGTTTCTCTGTAAATGTTGCTGCATAAATCAGTATTGGCCCCTAATTCTGAAAGGTGATTAAGGGTCCAAGTCTTAACACGCTGTTGAAAGGAGCAATCATTTCTGTCCTCCCATTGATAACATCCTACTACCTCCCTTACGTTAGCACAAGCAATTTATGGTGAGTTGTTCTATCTTACTCTCTTAACATTATTGCTGATAGAGATACCTGACAGGAGTGCTATGTATTTAAATAGTCATAGAAATTACTTCGAATAAGACTGCTAAGTCAGTTCAGGAGTTTGGATGTTACAGCTGTGGATATTCACAGATAAAAGTGATTGTGCATGATCATGTGCTCAAGTTTTCCTGACTGGTTCTTTTTGAGCGATTTGCAGAAAGAAAACATCACCTGTTTTTCCTTCCTTCTTACAGTGCTTCTTAAAATGCTGCCTTTCCTAAGCTAACAGTTACTTCATGTCTGCAGATAAACAATATTTGTTGTCTCATATAGACTGAAAGTTGAAGCACTGAGGTTAAAGTATACTCATCTATTGACCTTGAATGCTTATTTTAAATTACATGGCGTCTTACCAGTTAATATAAGAGAGAATTTAAAGAAGAGTGAAAATTTTGGAATATGTGTGCTCTGTTGTGAGCCACATTTTTAGGTACATCACTGCCCAGCAGAATCCACATAAATGAATTGTGTCTGGTGTCCCTGTGCAATATGAAAGCAAAAGTGGATGTCTCAGATTGCAATCCACAAGAGATAGACTCTTCAAGTCACCTTTGGAGTTACTTTTTCACAATCTTTTGAATCTTATATTGGAATCTCATTTCACTTTTGTAAGGAAGGTAGATTAAAGGGAAAAAAAAATTTACTGGTGCTCATAACCTGATGAAAATTTAGACAGATTTAAATATTGCTGATGGAGACCCTGGCTGGCTTTCTTTTGGTCTTACTGATCTCTTAACTCTGTTCAGATGCAAGGTGACCGGTTTCAACTCAAAAAAAAAAAAAAAAAAATTAAGTCATTAAGCCAGCAATGCAAGATCGTATAACACCTACGTGGCAGACAGGCACTGCTTCTCCCAGTGCCAGACATACTGTTCCTGACTAAATTCATTCTATCAGTATTAGCATAATTCACTCTTCCACTGACAAAAAACACTTGCACAGGATTAGCTGTTCCACATCACTGTGGAAACCATGGAAAATTGATTCAGGCAGTCATTTTGCATATAGTGTAGTGTGGGTTATAAACTCTTGATGGCTTTGTCCTCGTTTCCTGTCTTTAGGGCTTCATTACATGTTTTCAAGTAACCCAAGAAGTGCCAAATTCTACTTAAGCAAATGACCAGAAAAACGTCTGGTGGAACAAAAGGGAAAAATAAGTTCTTACCTATTTTTTCTTCATGTATATAAACATATCATGTACTTGAAAAGGAGCAGAATGTTATTACTTCAAGGTTCAGAATAAATTTTCCTTCTTTTAGTAAGCTTTCAGAGAGCACTTTCAGTCACGTTTCCTTTGTTAAACTTGGCACTTCAAAGCTGAGTTGTTTCTAAAGAAAGCACTGCTGCAAGACACAGAAAACAATCAAGGGACGTGCCACTGCTGAAGTGCAAAACAAGGCTCTTCACATCTCCCACACCAGTTTACCCTCTCAGCAATACTCCTAAGCCTGGGTGTCAGATAAATCTACAGCATCCCTTACAGGATATCTGCATAGCTCTTCCTTCCCATTCCCCATTATGAGAAATACATTGATTTTGTGTGATGGAAGTTTTAAGCAATTCGTGTTGGTTGACCACTGAAATACAAATGTTTTCACAGCAAAAATTGTCCATTACTGTGATCTGTGTTATTATTACAAGCAGTAGCTTCTAAGCATTTTTGTACGAACAGAGCATTGCACGGGGAGCTGCATGATTTACATGGTTGAGCAGTTCTTTTAATGCTTTCAGTCTGCTCTTAAAAATGTTGACTAGGAACAGATTTGAACAACTGGAAAGAAATTAATCTGCTCTTGTTGCTCTCAGGAATCACCACTTAAAAGAGATCATTACTCTCAGGAATTACCACGTACACAGCTCAGAATCTATCCCCACTCCCACAATCTGACTCAAACCAACACAGGAAATCTTAACATGTGACTTCACCACAAATTTAGATAACTGTCCCTCCCAAATTTAAAATTTCATCTGTCCTTCTAGTAACACTGGAATCTTTAGTTATTGAGTGATGCTACCTTATAGAGACCTTTGTAAAAGCTACTGCTTCAGAACGTGTACCTTCAACATCTGTGCTGTCGTCATGGAAGCACCTAAATGTCTCAGGTTTGGGAAGATACATTTTGGCTAGAAGAAAAAGAATCAAGCCTGTACAGGAATCTTTTTGCAGCAGTGAAGTAATGAATCCTGGCATCACACCATATGTAATGTAACCTCTACTATGGTAAAATCATCCTCACGTTAGTCAAGTTAGTAGTCCAGTTGTGAGACTAGCAGCGTGAATGAGGAAAACAGTTTATTCCTGCATATTTAAAAAGGATTGCAAATACATTGCTGATCCCTGCTGATCAAGCCAAACTGTTTCACATTGGGCATTTAACTTGACACTTGTATTAAGAACCTAAAGCCTGTATAGCTCCCAGAGAGAAACATGTTCTTAGGTTAGGTACAACAAATCCTCAGCACATACATGATAGGCAGATTTTAAATGACATGTTTAATAGTTTAACAAGCGAATATTTTGACATCAATTTTTAAATTCGATTCTTTCAACAGCAACCACGTTAAGAAAAATCTATAAAACATTTACCTTCTGAAATTTGACATCCTTTGTATTTCATATGACAAAGAATAATTATTTCCAGGTGTTGATTTGCAATGAATTTACATTTTAAAGCCTCACCAAATTTTTAAGAGTAATTCAAAATTTGGGGTGGGCCACATTTAAACTGCTGATTTCAGATACTGTCTATAAGTATCTTAACTCATCTTTCAGTCCTGGGCAGTCTGTATCACCAAACTCCTCTGTTGAGTCCACTGTTTGAAGTGGCTGTTTTGAATGCTTAAGATGGTCAGTGTTTATTTTTCTAATACCTGTTACCACAACTTCATCTGTTTTACTGTGGCATGATCCCATTTTTCTTTAGGTCACTAAAGGACAAACTTCCACAAAATGTCAGTGGCTCTAATTCTTTGTGTTATTTCAGTAATGGATTTTTAAGTGTGGCTACATATATGTTAGCTGGAAGTTATTCCTTTAATGCTTTCACCATTCATTCATCACTTTATTGCCTGTTTCACACCATGTAGCACAGTGGTTAGAAAGCACCAAGTGTTTTGTTTTGTTTTTTTTTTTTTTTAAACACAGTAACTTCAACATTTTTATCACTAGTTACATGATGCTCAAATTAAGAAAATACATTTTAAAACCGATCGGTTCTTTCTATTAACAGCATTTCAGAACAACAATTTTATAGAAGTTATTACATAAGAAATTGAAGAAACTGGTTCAAATTGAAAAAAGGGTGGCACTGACAGAACAATTGCTGTGCTGGTCTTCCCACTAATCTACATAGAGTATTTTTTGTTGATCTTTCTTGAATATGCACTTACATCACACCTGGTGGGGTTTACTGACAGTCTTAGAGAAGTGAAAATAAAAGCGGTCATGGGGAGGGAAAAAATCCCACCACTGTCATTGCAGAGATTTCTCCCAGAGCACTGGAAGAGAAGCACGAGCAGGGCTGGGTTATCCACCAGCTGATCAGGGTGTGATAACCTCATTTGCTGACATATAAAAATAAAATAAAGGCTTAATTTTAAAGTGAGTAGCGTGCAGAAGGAATAGTTGCACTTGGGCTCACATTTCCTTCAGCATGACCCTCTCTTCCCAGCCAGGTATACGCTTTCCAATCCAAACTTCATGTTAGCCTGAACCAGTGAATTATTGCAGCTTTCCTGCTGGGCTGCCTCAGCACTAGTAACTGCAACTGAGGGATGCAAGGGTTTCATGGGGCCTAAGGTGTTTAGATTAATAATCTAATAGCCTTCCTTAGAAAACAAAAAGCGGGATTGAAAAAATACTCAAAATGACATTCTGAATACTTGTGGCTTAACAGATCGTTCTCATGCTTTTTACATACATACTATGAAACAAGTATTACTGAAAATCTTAGTATCACCATTAGATGGCACAGCAGCGAATGCCTTTGACCCACAGTATTTTCCTCTTACTTTCTCCTCTCCCTGAGAGCCCCAAATGGCTCCCACCCTCCCCCCAGAGCACAGCAGGCACTTCTCACAAGCTGAGACGTAAGCAGATCGCTCATACACCGATTGCTGCTCCGTGAAGCTTTCCTTATTTATGCTTGAGTGTTGAGGAGGCCTGAGAACACCAAGCTAGCACCAGTCTTTTGAGAATGGAGAATCGAGAAATGGCAGAATGAGAGATCATGACAGTACTTCTCTGTACTAGTGTATTGAAAAACTGCTGGTGGCTAGAGCTAGAAGCGATAGCTGTGCAGGCACAATGCTGGAACACAGCTCTGTGTAGCCCTGCAGGCGCTCTGAGCCTCTCCATTTAGTCCTAACACACAAAGAATATACTCTGTACACCTCTGCAATTCAGATAGGGCCCTCAACATTACCAGTCCAACAAAGCCAAGAGGCTTTCCCAGCCTAACAGACAGAGATTCTGTCTCAGCAGTACGTACAAACAACCCTTGTTCGTTTTCAAACAAAAATTTTGGGAGACCTATTTGTGATCCCGAATTTAAATTCTACCCTCAGAAAGTACAATGATGCCCATCAGAAGTGCTTGGCTGGTTCCATTCATGCCTATTCATTAAGATGGCCAGATGCCCATTCACATGGTAGCAGACTTTTTTCACTGTATTGAACTGCCAAGAAGAACAGGTTTAGAAGAATAATGTGCAGTGTTGCGGTCTCCTGCTCTTCTGGAGAAAGTTTTTTCCAGCACTTTATTAACACTACATATCTACCTAGTCTAAGAGCTTTTGACAAGTTACAGTTCTCAAAAAACACTGCTATAAGTAACAGACTGACCTAAGTCAGATAAATGGTGCATTCCCTAAACAGAACAAGTGATAACACCAGAGGGATGTCAAAGGGACAGTGACAACCTACCTTTTCTGTGAGATGCCCATCTTTATTTAACAAGGCTTTTGTAAGCACCACAATCTGCTGAAAATTAACCATCTACAATGCCTGTACCACAGGCTCCATCCCAAAAGGTGCAATGCTACCCCCTTTCACATGGTAACATATGAAAGGTAACATGCATCTCAGATACTGCTCCCAATATATTCTACATCCACTCCAGAACTATGAACTTCATTTCAGAGTCTAGGACTGTAGGTGAATGCATTTGTGGGCACATTAGTTGCAAGTGTTTCACAGCTGCAGAAACAGCAATGCTGCTCGGCTGCACCGGGACAGTGGCAAACGGGGTTTCCTGCACAACACATTATTCAGGAAAGGGGTAAATCATTTACCTTGCTGTCAAGCTGCTGAGCAATTTTAAGCTCAACCTTGCACGATTAGCTTTTGCTTTTTTCCTATGCCCACTCAGTTTAACCGCAAGGAGGAGCAGAAACTCCCCACGCTTATTACTGGGATATTATTCAAAAAGAAACCAGGACTGTACAACCACCACCAGTGGCTCTTCTGGGTCTCCTCAGAAACCACTATGGCTTTCCTGAACTTCAGTAAACGAGCTAGCATTCAGAAAAACGTACAGTTACTTCTAAGCATACATGCTGCAAGCCCAGCCGTAGATATCAAAACTTCTGTTCAGAAAAATTTTAGAACAGAAGATCTGTAAGTGCAGGCACAGCAAATGTATGCCTCATTGTAGAAGAGAGACCATCTCCACATCAAGCAGACTGTACACTCACTGCACATGAAGAAAAACAAGAAAAAAATCTACAAAATAAATTTTGTTATAGATGAATGTTCATCAACATAGTTTTTATTAGTCTTACAGAAAGTGTATGTATGTATACATGGCCAGTTTCCATACTAACATACATTTTCTACTTTCACGGGAGCTTGCTGAATTACAGTGTGTTATTTTATCTATTATCATTCCTATAGGCTTTTTCTTGGATGCGTAACACCATCCTCCGAGCATAAAAATCCCTATATTCCTCAGGCAGTTCTTCAAGTGTTTTCAAGGCCCTGTCCAAGATCTGTATAGCTCTAGAGGCTGCTGTGGGATCTTTATTTCCATAAGTGTCACTCTTATCATAGCACTCAGCAGGAAGGTGCTTCCAAAAGACATTCAATGCCACTCCAAATTCCTCAGAAATTACATTGTGGAACCACAGAGCTGTAGAAAGAAGAATGTCTAAAATGAAAATTACTTTATGAAACTTCCACATGACTCATACCAAGTGTCAGAATTGCCCAAACTAAATCTAGTTGAGGAAAAGCCTCAACTACTGTATTTTTTATTTATAAATATTCATGGCTAAATATATCACACTGTGACAAATTTAAGAAGTTCTTCAAGACATGTACATTGACCCATAACTTCACACAAAAGTAACAATTGCTGAAGTATAAAGAAATGCTCAAATGTAAGCAAACATGTAAGATGAAAATAAGACATCTTCCCTGTTCACCTCACTCAACTCTACTCTGAATGCAGATACCTATTTCTAGAGATTTAGTCCCTAATCTTGCATAGGTTGTCCAAGCATTAACGTAAACCACCAGTGTCAACCAGGTCACCCATGCAAGTTGCTAATCTTTTCATAGTAAAGTCATGAGGCTTTTCAATTGAATCACCATGGCTGTGGTAAAGAAGCAAAGACATTTTTGCCTCATCTAGTAAGTTTTAAAAATAAATTTAATATATTTACCCTATTTACATTTTAAACAAAAAGACTAAATGCTGTGTTTATTGCAGCTTAGTTGTGTGTATGTGCTGAAGACACAGAAAAGCTTATTCTGAAAAATGAACAAGAAGTTTCAGGCTAGGAAGAGGGGCTGCTTCTACCTTCTCCATAATAACCACACACAAATCTCTAAGAATATCTCCTTTTTTCAGTTATATGCATTCCAGAATGCTGACAAAGCTAGCATCATTCTCTGGACTCAAAAATCCATATACTCCCCAGTCATTCTTAAGTGCTGAGTGTGTCCTAAGTTTGGACCAGTACACCTACTGGCAAAGACAAACTAGTTTCTGTACTACATAGAACAAAAAGGAAATTATGTATGCTGACATTAGCAACAGTGTGACATACCTTTCCCTAACTGTAACCAAAGTTTCTTTAGAAAGAAACACAAATGGTAAGTTCAAAATTAAGTAAAGAGTCCAAAGCTAAGAATCTATTGTAAAACTTTCTAACAACCTACTGCCTTCTTGCTTACTGGCCTCTTTATATTGCCCAGTTAATATGTAAAGCAATATAATAACTATCTGCCACAAGCTCATGATTAATTAAAATAAAAGATTAGTAACAAGTAGTAGTAGTTCAATAGGAGTAATTCAAAGAGTAATTCAAATGCCTTTCCCTGATCACCAGAATTTTGTCATCTCAGCCCAGGAAGAAGCTTTATATTTTCAGCTTGTGCAGAAAAATTATTAGAACTTGTCTTTCCATTCCCCAAAGGTGATTACACATTTCTAGAAGGTCTAATAACTGTACCATCCGTAATTCTCATCAAATCACATGCCTCACAGTTCTTAAGTGCCAGAGCTGCAGAAGAACAGAAATGGTACTTCACTTAAACTCTGTCATTAGAAAACTTGGGTCGCTGAAACTAATTTCAGATTTCACAAGCTGATTTTATAGTGCTAATCTATTAAGATACAAATTCAGAAGCACATAGTGCAGTCTTGAGAGATGGTAAGATTTGTAGGTAGATATAATGCCTTTTACGATGAAGTAGACAAGTTTTGCCAATGTCTTTAGGTGCTCCTACTTACAAACACTGAAATGCTTTAGTAACCTCTTACCACCCCTAGAAATGAGCAATTACAAACAAAACTGTTTAAAAACACAACATGGTCAGGAACTATTTGTTACTTACCTGGAATAAATAACACATCTCCTGCTTCCAGAAAACACTCATAGCGTTTGGCTTTCACAAAAAGGGGATATTTCTCTAAGTCAGGGTTATCCACATCCAGCACCTCTGACTTAGTACCTAGGGAAGTTTTCAGAAGTAATGAATAAAAAACGTTCCTACTCTTCTGACAGTAATAAAGCATTATCACATTGCTGGAAATGGCAGTTCCTGAATCAAATTTAATACTGGTTTATTGTTCTGTAACTCTTCTAAAAACCAGGGAAACCTGATGGCACTCCTCATTTACCAGAAAGAACACTGCACTCCTCCAGTTAGGTGCTGAAAACAGAACCAGGCAAAGCTGCTGTGCTCCTTTGCAAATTTCCTAACCCACCCCACTAAAATTATTAACCTTGACTAAAGAAAACAGGATCAGAGTTAAGGGACCAAACAACTTCTTTTACATCAAGACATCTGTTAGTGATTTTTTTCTACATTGCAACACTTGTCAGCTGGAAAGGCAACTATGATCACCAAACTCTGAACTAGATATATATGACATGCATACCTGATAAATACAAATATGGTGCATCTCGAGGACTATACAAAAAAACCCGTTTTTTCCCAGTTACTTGGATTAAGAAGTTATCCATTACCTGGAATAAGCATAGTAAGAGAGATGTCAGCGAAGAGTTAAGAATGAATACATAGCCTTCAACTCATCTAAAATATTATCACCTTAAAGAGGGAATTATTAAAACCTTCACATATTAAGAATTAGCTAAAAGAGCTTCCACATATAGTTAATCTAAAATACTCAAACAATGTGAGTTACTTTACCCCTTAGCTGCACATTCTTGACAAATACGTATCTGAAAACACAATATTGCTTTCCAACAACTTTGTGGTTTTCCTTAAATAGCAATCAAGTTCTTTCATCTTAAAACACAAGGACATACCATACTTTAGACATAGAAACCAGCAATTTATAATACAAAATATATTTGGGATTCCTTTTCTTTTTCAGTGTTACCCCTACCTCATTTTGCCGACTTTCTATTGATAAAGGATTCTTTTTCCTAATTATAATGCAAAAATATATTTTTCTTATTAAGAAATTTATTCAGAATTACACTGCACAATGTTAGAAGACAATCTTATTTGGAATCTACCACATTGCAACAAGAAACTACCATGGTCATTGTAAAATTACCAACAGTCCGGCCATTAGAATAAAAAAACGAAGGTAATCTTGAAGATAAAAATATTGAAAGTTACTGTGCTTCAGATTTTTAACTGAAACTCAAAACAGTGGAAAAAAAAAAAGGGGAACAAAAAATCAAACATAATTTAATCTTACAACTGTGGAATTAGACATAAAAGCAGTGAGATATTATGCCCACACAATACATCTATTTAAAATTCACTGTAACATTGAATGTGATTCATTTCACTATTTCAAAATCTGTGCAGTTTGTCATTAGCTGATCATTGTCGGAGATTCGAACCTCAATATCTCAACTCCATAATGCCATCTGCAGCATTTTATGCTAAACAGGTGTATTACCTACATCATAATGTGTCCATAACTGTAATCCAGCCGAACTGATGCGGAAGACGCTAGAGAAAAACTGTTCCTTCTCAAAATACTCTGGAATCTGAACATCTTCTGCCAAAACAGGAAACTGCTTTCTGATATCTGCAATATCCTGAAGCAAGAAGTACGTAACTCTTAGAGAACCATATATGAGCATTAAAACAAGGGAGGGCTTCACTATCATTTCCCATCATACAAAACACAGGGCTAGGACTTCAGCATTGGCAAATAGCTGAAAAGAGCAATGCTTTTTGGTGGTCATCCTTTCAGCCTTGACTTGATCAACAATATTACTAAGAACAGACGGAGAGCTGCTTTGAATCATGGCTGCTAGAAATCACACTAAAGAATCAAGAAATCACCAGAAATCCTTTAATATTAGTTTACAATAAAAGCTAAAGAATGGGAGGTGAAGAATGTACTCTGCAGGCATTGGCTAAACTCTTGTATAACAGCAACTATTTTAGACACTTAGGTTTAAATATTCTGACCTAAATCCAGCCAGATTCACAGGCCAAGCGACCACAAACAAGTTGTATGCCTGTACTACACAGCCAGCAGATGACAGCAGGCTTTTAAAAGTATTCATAAACTGCAACTTTACAATATTAGAACTGTAATCTCAAGTAACTCACCTTCCTAGCATCTTCACCCACTGATCGCAAATAGTACTTTTCATCCTGAAGAGAACATGAAAATGTAATTGTTTTGTTTTTTTGATAAGAATGCAGGGCTCCATTAAAATATGGTACAAATAAATGGCATTTACAAATTCAGCTACTTCATTACACTGCCTTTACTCTACTGCTCCCTGCTGTTCACCTCAAGAAATGGGAAAAATATGTTAGCTGAGAGTGGAAGAGTAAAACTGTGGGAGACGTGTCAACTGCTTCAGCATTGCTGTTACGGAACAGATTCAAAGCAAGTGCAGATTCAGAACACTGATGCAGGAAGCTATTTCAGTTGGCTTCAAAACTTGCAGCACAAGAGGTGAAAAGTATGTCTGCATTCAAAACTGCTTCCTAATCACAGTTATCTGAAAAATTCCTAGTTTGGACACTGGTATATAAAGATAGCCACACATCTGCTACTCACAAATTGTGTTACAATAAACCTGTATTTGTATTTTGATGGCAGATGTAATCAAACTCTAAAATATCTTAAATAGCTTCATGACATTTTCTTGCAAAACACGTAAATGATCCAGTTATTATTCTAAAGGAAGGTTTGATTTCTAAATTTTATGCTGGGAATTTTGCTCATGTAAGCAGTCTTTATTAACAGAAGCAGGATGACTGAAGTTAACCACACTCTACACACGCAAAACAACTTCTGAGAAAAATTACTTCTCCCCACATTTTTTCCCTTGGCTCTAAGCCACACAAAACAGTTAAATGTAAGATCAAGTGCTTTACTGGAGTAAGAGTTTAAATTACAATTCATCATTTTCCCCTCCATGTACTGGCAAAATAACAACAGAAGAAACTGTGACACTAAAGAAATTACCTCAGAAAGAAAGTACTCCTTGTGTTTGACTTCAGCTGCTCTTTGTACAAATACATCAAAAGGCAGAGTTCTGAAATACAAATATTTAAATTTATATAATGAATCAATGTAACAACACATGGTCTAAATGCCAGGTTTAAACTCGTAAGCTCCCTTACCATATCTAGTATAACTGAAGATGCAATATGCTGCTTTTTTTCCTTTTTTTTTTTTTTTCATCCAATTTAACATGGTGACTAATCAGTGTTTGCAGTGGATGTCTGAAGAGCTCTACCAAGACAGAAATCCTAGACTTGCAAACCTCTCTGCTTTAGTACATTGTTCCAATGTATATCCAGATAGAATCATGTCATTGCTGAGGCTGGAAGGCACCTCTGGAGATCATCCAGTCCAACCCCCTTGCCACGAGCAGAGTCAACTACAGCAAAATGCCCAGGACAGCATCCAGTAGGGTTCTGCATATCTCCAAGGATGGAGACTCCATAACCTCTCTGGGCAACCTGTTCAATTATTTAACCACCCTCACTGTAAAAAGGGTTATTTTAAAATAGTTTAACAGAATTTCCTGGATTTCAACTTGTGCCCGTTGCCTCTTGTCCTGTGACCACGAACCACTGAGAAGCTCCATCTTCTTTATTCCCTCCATCAGCTGTTTATATCCACTTTGCTGAGATCCCCTCCTGAGCTTAAGAGGTCTGAATGGTTTGAGTCACAGTGCAAGAAATTTCTTTACAACCAAATTAGACTCAATCTGTGGCCAAAACCTGACAACACTTGCATAGACTGTTTCTCTAACAGTGTGTCGTTTTTAGGCTTGTTTACTGTACATTTTTATAAATGTGCAGAAAAGCTCAGCATTAAGAAAACTACTGCAGTTGATACACATATGTTTATATCTGTGCATTTTTTGCTATTTGTGCACAAACACAGGTATCAATCTTCATTTGTAGATATCTAAAATTTATTTCAGTTACCTAATTTTCTTTACAGCTTTCCTTTAATTTATTGCACACAACTTCAGAAGATTCAAAAAGAATCACTGGGCACTAGAGCCTGTCCCTCTGAAGTCAGTAAGTGTGTTACATATTTATTTACGTAGTGGGAGCTTTTCATATGGAATACAGAGTTTGGCATCAGTCTATAGCTGAATGGCAAACCAAGAACAAGTAGTAATAGCACATGTATTAATTGTTCTGAATATTGTCTTATGAATTCAATGTTATGTTCATTCAACTCACCATCTCACATTGTCACTGGATAATGAATATATTGCATGTAAACATCAAATTTCAGAGCAACCACCAAGTACCCCAGGGTTAAGAAGAAACTATCCTCAAGCAAAATCTTTCATGATCATGTTATCACTTCTACCAGAACGTGACCTGCATCTGATAGTACTTAGACCACTTCTCTAAACATTTTAGGCTTGTTTTTAATAGTCAAATACAACAACCACGGAAGTCAATGGAAAACCAAACAAAACCCAACTGACTTCAGTTGAACTGTTGTATCAAGCCCATTTACATTTGCTACTGAAGCAAGTGAGAGCACAGCTCCACAACAGCTTAGACTGATGCATGCTGGTGCTGCCACAGCTCTGCCCTTGCAGTCCACCCTAATCACCCCGTCTCCTCCCTTACGCTAGCACCAGCACTCATCTGACCTCATGGCGAACCTGCTTGCAAAGCTAAAAGAGCAGGAAAACATTCAGATTTCTGCAGCACATCACAGTGTGGCTGAATGAGTTCCAGAACCAACACAAAGACAGGGGTAGAACAATGCAACTTACAGCAGGACTGCAGTACTACTCACGTGCATCAGTTTGAACTCACGGAAGTGCATGTTAAGGCCTCAGTGGTTTTATTCTTTTGGTTCTACTTATTCTCCCTTCATACTAGAATGGGGGTGCTTGCTGTGGAAAAGGTCAAAGCTTCCTGAATTTCAAGTGAAGTGGGTGAAAGTCCTAACACCTGCTATAATGAAGCATCATCAGAACACCTCCATATGGCTGTCTACAAACCTGCCAAAACTAGCATACGAGATCAACTGTATGTGAACTCACAGTAAGAGATATTCTAATAAGAAACAAAATAGAGTGGGGAAAAGGAAACATGGAGATAAGGCAAAGTCATTCAAGTACAACCGGACTTCAAATATCCACAAGTTCCTTATGCAGTGAGCAGAATACAGCATGACTATCAGGTGTTTTTTCTCCTGAACAACAGGCTCCACTCACAGAGACTTATAGCTTGTTTACACTTACAGCATATGCTTCAGCCTTCTTAAAAGTTTAACAGACTGAACACATCTTGTTCCCACTTAGGGAAAACAAACGACAACTAAAATAAAGGCATTTACTCTTGAAGAACAACACAGTGACTGAGATTAGATTAACTCTGAAAAAATGTTCTGGCAGCTACAAAAGAGGAACTTCAGGGGAGATCAAGAGTTTACGTGACCCACATCAAAGATTAAAGAGTTGGTGAAACGTGTGATATCCAGTAGTTTGAACATTCTGAGAACTGCACATGCTCACTTTGAAAGGAGCTTGGTTTTAATTAGTAACATCCCTCTAGAGTAGAAAAGCATGCCTACCACATGCCAGCATTCAGAGAGATTCAGACACATGGTGAGTCATAAACTAGCACTTTTCAGTAATAATGCTAGGAGAAAAAGACGCACCATATAATTACAACAAAATAGCATATCATCTAATATCCAGGGAGTTTTGTTTTTATTAATGTCATCAAATGCCAGGCATAAATTTCCTACGAGTGCTCTGTCAAAATATCTTTACAACACTTCTTCATGCTACCACTTTTAAGGCCCTGTTTGGCCCCTCCTTTCACCCTTGTAATATTCATTCAGGGTGCTGATATTTGTGGAATGAAAAGAGGAGGGGGAAATCAAGGACATCACTTTGATATGTAAGGTTTTCACAAAGTATCTTTATATTCTCACCCTCAACTTCAAACAGATGCACTGTATGTCTGAAAGTTACAAGCACGTGCCTTTAAAATACAAGACACCTTGAAATGAAGTACCTATACAGAAAGTTCTTACTGAGGAAATCCATCTGTGGCACTGCAGAAACATGAATCTTTACTTCTTTAGATCCTTCAGCTTGACTCAAGTAATCTACTGTCCATTTGGTTGTGCAAGTGCCCAGTTCCATTCCTTTCAGCACTACTGGCTCCCTCTAAGGAACAAAAGAAAAAAAAAAAAAAAAAAAAAAAAAGTTGAAATGATCATAGCATCCAGTAAGAAAAAATCAGAATTATTTTTTCAAATAAAGGATATGCAAACAAGTCAGTTGAATACCATGACCCACTACCAAAAGTCACACCTAATCTGTGCACAAACAAACAATGTGAATCAGAATGCAGAATGCCGAAACAAAATGCAGTCAATCATGGGCCTGTTTCCCTATTTATTATATCCTCTTTCCTAGCGGGGTAAGGAAAAATAGGGAGACACATTAACACTCACTTTGTGCTGGAGCCATTGAAGAATCTAGCCAGACTGAGGACTAGCTTAAGTCATTCTAGCCAGAGCTTAGCAGAAAACAGACAGAAGACCACACAGTTATGGTGCAGCCTGTGAGCTACAGTGGTGCTGTGTGCTCTCAGGAAAGCAACTCTTTCCACCTATAGTAATGCCCCTTGATGCTGACAATCACGAACAGGTTTGATCCGGCGCACACACAGAAAATCAGTAGAAAGACACTTTCGCTTTGAATCAGGACCTTGGAGGAAAAAAAAAAAAAAAAAAAAAGAAGAAAAAAAAAAAAAGGAAGCAAAAGGAAGCAGCAACGACACAGCAACTCAACCAGCAACCACACCAATTTCAACCACTGCCAAAGAAAATGAAGGCGCAGAGAGATCAGCTGTCAGAGCTTTTCAGCAGCTCAGAAGGGATTTTGCCTGTGGAAGCTCTTTGCCCTTAAACTCAACTTTTCGTGGGTCACGGTACCTCTCAGAAAACACGTAAACCCCAAACTCGCGGTTTCTCCGCGGTAGCCCTGCCAGGTGAGGGGGTGCCTCGGGAAACCCTCTGTCCTGCCTCGCCCCCCCTCCCCGCACCCGGCCGGGCCGCCGCCCCCCCCCCCCCCCCCCGCCCCAGGCGGCTGCGGAGCGGCTCCAGCCGCGCGGGCGCGGGAGGCAGAGCCGTACCCGGGGGTAGATGTCGCGCAGGAACCGCTCCCGCGTGGCCCCGGCCACCCGCGCCACCGGCACCGCCGCCTGCTCCCGCCGCTCCATGGCCGCTCCCGCGCACCGTATCCCGCTCCCGCCGCTCAAACCACCCCCCCGGGAAAGAAGAGCCGGCGCAGAAACGTTCCCCTCATCTTCCCGCCAGGCGAGGGCCGGGGAACGAGCCAATTCCTCCCTTCTCCGGGAGACGGCTCCCCCGCGGTGGCTGCGCGGTCCTCGGAGCCGCCGGTCACCGCGATCTCCGCCGCGCCTCGGAGGACGCCCTGCCGTGAGGGAACCGGCGGCGGCGACTCCGTTTCCCGCGGAGCGGCACCTGCGGTCGGACGGGGCAGGGCCGGGAAGGCGGCGGGGCGGGGACAGCGGCCATCATGGCGCTGCGCGGCGCCGCCGGCCGCTGCCGCTGGCTCGGCCGCACACTGGCCGTGCCGGGGCCAGCCCGGCTCCCGCCGCCGCCGCCTCCTCCCGCCTCAGCCCTGCCGCTGCGCCCCGCCGCGCGGTTCGCCAGCACCGCCGGGCAGGGTCCGGAGGCCGAGGGCCCGCCGCGTCGGGTGGTGGTGGTGAGGATCACCAGCCCCTTCGCCTGGCTCCGCACCCGCTTCTGCTACCTCCTCATCCGCCTCTACTTCGACCCGGAGTTCCGCACCGAGGAGTTCACGCGGGGCGCCAAGCAGGTGAGGGAGGGATGAGCGGGCGGCGGGGCCCGGCGCGGTGCCTGGAGGAGGCGGGAGCGGCCCCTCGGCCCGCCCGAGGGAGGGGTGCCCGGGTCTACCGCCCGCCGAGCCCCCCGAGGGGGCTGCCCCTGCCCGGCCGTCGCCTCACCCGCGGGGTCGGAGCGCCCGACCGCTCCCCGGGTGTAAAACAGATGGAAACTACGTTTGTCTCGGCGCCGGGTGCCGCACTGCCGAGGGTGACAGCAACCGGGCGGTCGCTTCTCTCCCGGCTTTTCTCGTTTTCTCTTCCCAGATTCCGCAGTTAAAATGAGCTGGCGTAGCCATTCCCCGAAATAGGATGAAGGAAGGTGCTTCCGGATGTTTTAGAGACCTTAAGGGGAAATGTGTCATTTCTTAGCTGGTTTGCCGAAAATGACAACGCTTAGGCAGGCACAAAGCTGGTGCCTATATTTGTTTCTCCAAGTTTATGAACCTAATAAGTTTTGTCAGCAAAATGTGCCAAAGAGGTAGTGATCTCAAAACTAATCATGTAAAAATTACAGTTACCTGCTGTGAAACTTCAGTTGTTGTATTTAATTAAAAAAAAAAAACCAAACCAGCAAACAAAAAACCAGCTCAAAAAAACACACCGGGTGGTAGGGGACAGAACATTAAAATGCTTAAGATCAATTGAAGAAAGACCAAAAAACCCCACACCAAATTAGTTGCCATGTGTGCAAAAGCACCTGTTTTACCTTGCTACTTTTTTTTTTGTTTGTTTTTACATGCTGTAGAGTCCTAAACACTCTGCCTTTCACAAGTACGCTATTTGAGTATGTAGAGGCATTATTGTATGTAAATCTGCCTGCAAAATTGAGGGGAAAATGGGAGTTGAGTTTCCTGATGTTTATAAAAGTTATGAAGTTTTTAAATTTATAAAGAAATTTTATAAACTGCAGCTTCTGTTTTGACTGAAACCAGAAGATGAGCTGGGAAAAGAAGCAGGGGAACAAAATATCTACAGGGAAAGACATAGAATTATCAAAAAGAGAGTATATAGATTACTATAATGCTTATTTTTGTTAGCAGGCTGTGCATTCACTTGCCCGTTATCAAAAGGTTTGATGTGTTAAATGAGAGACTGAAAAGAAACCTTATGTTTTCATCAGTTCATGGAATCACTTTTTTAATTCTGGAGGCCTTCTGTTTGGATGATGATACACTTTGCAAACACTGAAATCTTAAATCATGGAATATTTGGGTAGCTTGTCCCATAATGATGGAGTTGTCTGAAAAATAAGCCAACCTAATGTTATTTGTTCATGTATTTCTCTTTTTTCTTTTTTTTTGGTAGGCCTTTTCTGTTGTTTCAAAGCTGCTGTCTCAGCGTAAACTTGACCTCCTGGATGAACTTGTATCAGCAGAGGTAAATGCTTTCCATCTCTTATTCTAGCGGTTGATTTTACTTTATGAAGTAACATACATTCAGCCTGTCATTATCTACAAATACTGCCAGTTTGTTTTAATTTGGAAACAACAGCATAATGCAGAACAGAGCAATTGTTTGTCTTGCAGCTTTATGTTTAATTTCAAGGCATGAAACTTAAAGTAACTGTATTGAAAAAAAAAAAAAATTCGTGCCACTGAGAATAAGGACCAATTGCCAAAAAGGTTGCTGGTGTACCAGAAAGGATGGAAAGGTTTCGGGTTCTGGATGGCAGGCAGACTTGTGTACTTCTGTTGGCATAGGCAGATAGCTGACTCTTTTGGTCTGTGAGCCAGAGTCCACATGAAGAAAGGAACTGGTTTGTGCTCATCCGTGCTGCACTAATACATTCCCACTCCCAAGCAGATCGTACAGCCAGTTACTGGTTTCGTCTGGAAGGCCTCAGTCTTGTGTCATGGTCTCAGGGATATGGCTGGCCTGACTAGTAAACGTTAGTGCAGTGTGTTCTGTGTTTTTATAAAGTTTTAATTGCTGAAGTTGTCTTGGCATTCCCAGCGGACGGAGGTAGCAGATGCATCAAAGTCAAGTCGAGGAGATACTTCAAGTCTATGTCTGCCTTGTTACTGGATGTCAGCTTGGCCTGCCCTATTGCCACCCATGCCTTTGCAGCAAAAATTTTGGTGCTGTTCTAGTGCATCCCCACTGGACAATCTTGCCTCCTCTCTCTGAGCAGAGATAGCAGTAAAATGTGAGTCTGTTTCTTATAGTTGTTTTGAAAGAGCATCTCTTCTTCCTCTGCTCATCTTAAATTCTTCAGGTGATCGGGTTAACACTGGTCCTGAGACCTCATGTAACCAGAGCATGTAGTGGATGAGGCTGTGATACCACACTACTTTGTTGTTGCTTTGGCCACTGAATTTTATACCTGTAAAACATACTAGAAACCAATGTCTTCTAGTGAAGATCACCTCTTGCTTCCATGTGACCTCTGGATTTGTTTGTTAGTCAAAAATGCCAATTCAAGTTAGGCTAAAAACTGAGTATGAGTTAAAAATAAGTGTTGCACAGCTTCATCCTTCCTTGTGATATGTCTTTCTCAAGTGGTGTTCGACGTGATGCCTCTGTTCAGTTTGTGCACCACACCCTTTTCTACTTAACACAGCTGTGTAGGTCTTAAAACACACAAATAGTATGGATGTGAGTGCAGTATGGAACTTAAGTCCCAGAGCAGTGATTTTTTCCAGTCTTTTCTGATTTGCAAGTGTTTAAACTTTTTCTAATGGGAGTGTGGATCACCAAATGGCAAAGATAAACTTAGTGCTAATGGGACTGATTTTCAAATAAATTTGTGAAAGATAACTAAGAAATAATTGAACGAAAAGCTGAGGAATATACACATAGGAAGAAATCATCAGTGAGAAGGCAGAGTGTATGATTGTGGAAGCAAGCTTAATTGGTATTTTCTGGGCTTACATGCCTTGCTTTGCAACTTCTGTTTTGACAGTATCTTTTCTAAACATTTTTTAAAATACTTGGTTTTCATTGGTTTGAGTAAATGGATCTTCTTTAATATCACTGAATTAGGGTTTGGGACTGCCTAAACTTCCTAGTACTTTTTCACTTCTACTGTTGTATATGTTATACAAATGTCTTGGTGATACAGCTCATTTTATTAACTGCAGTAGAAAAGTTTGCTACTCCAGTTTCCTGGTGAAAAATTAAGTGATGTTTTTTCTGAATTTAGGTACTTCAGGTGCTGAAGGAAAAGATTTCTTTGCTCCCTGACAACCACAGGGATGCTTTAGCAGCTGACATTGATGCAATCATGTACACAACAGAAGGAGATGTTCGCATTTACTATGATGATGATGGTATGTTTAGAATTCAAAAACATTTCAGCAGTGGGCAGTCTTATTTCCCGGTTTTGCGACTGAGCAGGCATTTTCCTTATAGATGTGTTTGAGTACTGTTTCTCATTCCTTGTTTTTCTGTTTACAGTTCATCTATATATAATTCCCCGATTTCCTTTTAATCCAGACACTGAGAGATAATTGTTAATAAGTCATGGTACAATTTTGAGTTCTGTTTAGGTTTTGCTCATTACTCTTCTTTTGGAATTTCAGATTTTTACATTATTAGTCTTTAGCAATCTCAAACCACTTAAAAACAATTATTCTACTATATGCAGAAAGCTGTTTGCTTCAGCAATGAAAATATATCTTCCAAGAAGAATAGTGAAGGCTGGATAATGACATAAATTTTGCTGTCTTCACTTTGTTTTCATGGAATATACTTTGTTCTAGGACTTATTGATTTTTTTATTTTTATTTTTTTGTAAGCTAGTCATGAGATCAAACAAGTTTTTTCTTTTGGTTGAAAACCAGCATTATGTGCTGGGTTTATTATCAGACACAGTTGAAATGGTTTGTAGTCTAACCATGGGTCTTCCAATAAGCATTTCAAATTGTTAGACCCATTGAGCTTTTTTCCTGTTTTGGGAGATAGGGATTTTTTTTTTTTTCTTAGATTGCTCCAGAGTTTCAACTACTCTGCGTACTTCTGTAGTGTCAGTAGTTGGCTTTGGACCTTGTGGTAACCATCTCTTTTTCATACAGTTTGGTTATGTACAATGTCATGAAACACTCATGATAAAATACATACCTTTCTACAGAGTATATTTTTTATTGATGCTAAACACCATGAATATGGCTTTAAACAGCTTTATCGTTCATTATTCTATCATGCATTCTTTATGGCGGAACTCAGCTGCCCTTCCAGGGTCTCACTAGAATATATTCTAGGTAGGAAACAGGAGTATTTGACCAATGAGAAACATGATATCTACATTATGCTTTGATTTATTTCCAACAGGAAGAAAATTTGTTAGCATCCTGATGCGTTTCTGGTATCTGAATGGTGCTAACCTACCTGATGAAGTACCAGGTGAAACCAAAGTTTTCCAGATTGTATTTGGAGATGAAAGCACAAAAGAAAAGAGGCATCTTTTAACAGCAAACTATGAGTAAGTTTAGTTGTCCCTTTTTTCCTCTGTGTATGTGGGCTAGCTGTGTGGAAAACAGTTTGGGAACTGAAAGCATTCACACTGTGGCAGTGCAGAACTCCATATGTTTTAATTTACCTTGACTCTAATCTATATTAGTTCTCATCCAGCTTTCCGGTTTTGATTCTCGGGCGAAATTTTTTAAATACCCCTTAAAGTCATTATGTTGTTACCTTGTTTCTGAGTTGAGATCAATAGGAACTCTTTATCAGGGAGAACAACAGTTGGAGCGTTGAATGATGTTTCTGATCCTTCCCTATACTGCTCCTGCAGCTTCGGGAAATAGGCCAGTATCAGTTCTTGTTTCCCATTTCTTGTAGCACAGCTAACAGCAATGCAGTCAAGCCAAGCAGTCAAGTGTGGTACTGTTGACTTGTCACTTCCCGCACAAAAATCAGAACTACAATTAGCTGAAAAAGTAGCTTATAAGAGAGGAAGTTATTTAGCCAAATGCTTTCTGCAGAAAGGCAGAACAAATCAAGCATCACCTGGTGTTCAGATAATTCATGCCACTGTGATTCAAGCCGTCAAAGCACACATTAAGTAGATGGATTTTCATAGGAATGCTTATAAATAACATTTGTGTTACTGTACTGATGTCAGAGCATTGCAGAAATACCTGCACAGTTGGCAAAATGTACTGAAAATAACATCCTCTGAAGTTGGGAACAGTGAGAATTTTTGTGTGAGAAATACAGTATAATCAATGACTTCTACACTCGCATTTGAAATGGAGAGACTATGGGGTCTAGTTGATGTGGAGCTCTAAAACAAAGGAAACACTCCGAGGGCACCAGTGTGTTTTGCCTGGATGGATTTTCCTGTATCCATCCCCTAGGTGAATTCAGCATCATCCTTAGTGTTGGAGGCTTCCGAGGCTCCATTAACCTCAAGAGCCTCTCTTTAAAGGCCTAAATATCTTCCTAATCCCCAGCAGAGAGATCTTTGCAAGTAAGTGTTCCTTCTGCTATTTACGGTGCTGACCTGAGTTCAAATGGGCAAAGATATTACAGGCATTGGAAGCCTGATGTTAAGTATTTGGGTGTTTGGAGAAGAGAGTTTCCAGGAGTGAATTTGCATGTGGTTGCAAGCAGTGAGGTTATTCTGCTCTTGTCCACAATGTGCAGGTTACTCAGGAGTGTGAATATTCAGCTTGAAGCTCAGATTTATCTTTAGATGGCAAGCAGTCAAAACTGACATGAAGGAAGGCTTTAATGACTACAAAAGGAAGAAGAAGACTTTTGAAAATAGGGGTGGATGTTTTCATTTTCCTATCAACAACTACAGAATTTTCTTTCAGGGAGATTCAGTACTACTGTTAGCTTGATCTTTGATGTATTTCTGACAGTATATTACTTTTTAAAGTATAGTTGAGTAAAAATTAAAATTTTCAGGTAGAATGCGTAGCATGTGATTTCCCTCCACGATGCAGTTACCATCCCATTAAATGAAATCCTTTATTTAGAGATGAAGATCTGCCACAAAGCTATATTCATAGTTACTGCTATGAAAACTGAGTGCTTTTTTGATATGAGGGTCTTTACTGTGGCTGCTTGATCCTGTCTGTGGGATCTGAACCAAAACACTCTGAAGTCAGTGCACTTTGTATCTTACTATAGAATTGATTTTGATCTTCTGTTTTGGGGCATAAGCATCAGAATCTAAGGAGCTTTTCCAGGAATAACTTTCAAGTAAAATATTTCTTCATGATTTCTTGTTATTATTATTAGTTCTTTAAGGATCAAATTAGTTTTAAAAACTCTTCACTTACTGTCTTTCCTTTTCCAGGTTCCAAAGAGAATTTACAGAAGGAGCAAAACCAGACTGGACAATAACACGGATTGAACATCCAAGGCTATTGGAATAAATGCCCTCTACAGTCTTTTTGTGTACCACTGTATATGTTCTGATGTAACAGATATCAGGCTTTTTCTGGTCTCTTTTTTTTCCTTTCCTTCCTTCTCATCCAAAGGAGGAATGAATTTTATATGTTTGATCTCCAAAAATTGTTTCTGAAACTTACACTATGCTGCAGCATTACAATAAAGCCTTTTCCCTGGAGCAGGCTAGTACGAGTTCAATCGGTACTAATGTTCATCCAATGCATTTACACAGCAGTTTCGTGCAGGCTGGTATTATGGGTATGTCGACTCCCCTTACATTCTGAGAAGAAATGGTGCTACTTGAAGATTAACAACACTGTCATGGCTGGTGGCCCTTCTGAGTTCTTCTCCTATGTTTCTTTTTTCCCTAGGGACTGTACAATATATAATGAATAATACGCACGATGAAATAGAGTAGATGGACTACTTAGATTGTCTAGCTTCAGCAGTTCATTTTGAGGTAATCCTGCTTTTCAATATATTTGAGATTAAGAAGGTTAGAGCTATTATTAATATTTGGTATTGGACTGGAGTAAGAAAAAACTACTAGCATTGCACTGGGAAAATGGATCAAAGAGATGTGTTCATATATATATATTTTGGAAAATGAAAACAACATTCCTTTCAATTCAGTAACATACAGACAATTGCAAGTTTAGAGGTTTATGAAAGAAAAATCAGTCAAAAACATGATTTTAAAAGAGGACCTGACAGTGAAGCTAAATGAAGTCCTCTGAAATGCTTGTTGAAGTAATGAGCAAATCATTAAAGTTAGATGTTGTAACTGAACAATTTTCCAATTCTCAGATCATATCTGTTTCAGGAACGTGAGAGTCCTGGTGTAAGTAACTTGACATTTTTACGTGCAGATCAATGGGAGATCATCATAACAGATTTTTTTAATCCCCTATCTCAAATTTAAAGTTAACTTTCTACCCAAGCATGTTGTAGAGATTCGTGCAGTGTTTTGGAAGTGCAAAGTATAATTACTGTGATTCCCAGTAGTTGTGATTGAAAGGTATAATTTACATTTTCCGTAGTTCAGCTCTTTTGATGCAGTGATTTAAAGAGTAGAATGTTTAAAGCTTATTAACATGTTTTTTACGTCAAATCTTGGCAAAATAGTTACGGTAATTTGTTCTGCCTTAGCAGCAGCAGCCGCCTGGTCTTATAATGGTGAATTTCTGATTTGTCCTCTGGACAAAGTTCAGTGATGACAGAGAGCCTTGACTTCAGGGGAGAAAAAAAAAAATCTGTATTTAAAATTATATATATCCATTTTGTAAGCAGTCAATCAGTAAAAGTTGATGCAAAGTGAAAAATTTTTGTTATTCTCTGGGCCATTTACTGGAATGATGCTAAATGGTAGCGTGTCCAGTTTGGCCACTGAATGATGTACTGCAAGAAGGTGCAATCAAACGTATTTGACATAGTACGAGGAGAAGCAAGGAGGACAGTAGTGAAGTGTGCAGATGCACTTCTAAAAGAAGTCGTTATTATGGAGCAAAAGAAGACAAAAGCCAGTGAAGCCATCTTTATGTTCAGGAGTATTTGCTTTCACATTTAAGTAACAGGGGTCTATCTAGAAATGCTGGCCTATCTCCATTTTTAGGTTGGGTTACTCTATTAGTATCTTCTTTGTTTGATTGGATATATCAGAATGTAAGTGTCATGACTGATGAGGGATTACCCTTTTACTAGTGAATGCTCCATTTTTAGAAGTAAAGACAGAGTAGACTCTTCTGTATAACTAATAATGAAATTTTTAGTTGGTTTTTTTTCACTATAAAATTATGACTTGATATGAACATGCTCCAAATTGGTGATAACACAGTTTTGCTGGGGAAAAAGAAAATGTCATTGGAAATTTACATGCACTATTTTCTTCTTTTAAAGTTGTGTTTGTCTTGTGGGTTGTGGGGGGAGCAGCTGCTGGATGTGCGGGGTTTTTTCTTCTCTAATCTTCATTTTTAAAATGATCCTGGAGACTATACATCTCCCTCAGGTGCAGAACTACACATGGCCTCATTGCACCATAAGTAAATTGGAAAGGCATGTAAACTACTAAGTTTATTGTACTGGAAAGTAGTTTGCTTTCCACAGTGAATAAAACAGGTGTAATTATACTGGATTTACAGTCCAATATTGGCTTCAGAAAAAAAAAACACCAACAGCCCCCCACTCCACCCAACACACACCCCCCCACCCCCCCCAAGCAATCCCAAACCCAACTTGAAAGGAATGGACAAATATACATCTATCTTATAAAAGAGGACGTGGAAGTTTTCAGGAAGCTTTGACTCCTTTTTAATTGCTGTCCATAAATTCTGTCATAAATCTGATTATCATAGCAATTAATCAGTCTGAAGTGAATGTCAGTGGAGGGCGTTTTTCATCTTATAGCATCCACATTTTCTCTTGTGGAAATACTTTTCTTTCGTGTCACTTGTTCAGGCAAAACGGAATTTCTGGTTTCTACATCACCAGCCAAAAGTATCTACCCAAACCCCCTGTTACCTAAGATAAATGTATTTAGTGTCTTCAAGCTAACTCCTAGTAAATACATTTCTATATACTATCAAGGTTGTCCCAAATTCTCATGGGAAAAAGGATGAATAAAGCGATAAGTTTGCTTCATGTTGATCTAAGACAAAGATGAAGGAGAATATTGTCTTGTAATTCAGGGATTTCCAGTGCTGACATTCGAACACCTTACTCTGAAAAATCATAATATTAACTTAAGTGTTACAGAATTTTAAAAAAGAGCTAAAGGAAGTGTTTTATTAGAAACATCTTCATGATTTGGGAATAATGATGCTGAACAGAGAACAGTAGAACAATGTGGGGATCTCTGTGTCACAGCATGCTAGTGCTCCCAAATTCTCTTGTTGATTTGTCTCAGACATCACCTTAGAAATTACAGTGTGTAAGGATTTGAGTGTGCTTAATTTCCCTTCTATCTCCTTGCCTGATGTCTACTGCTGTTGCTTTAAGTCAGGAGGAGGAGTACGACTGTAATTATGGTGTACAGCCTGTAAATCCCCATACATACCCATCTACAATATTTGCAGTTTTAGCCTACAAACTTCTTCATTCAGACCCCAGTAATTCTTGAAAACAATGTTACCAGGTTTGATAGTGATTTTTAGGGTAAAACTAGTATCTCTACTAGCAGCACTGACATTTCTGATTCTTTTTATACAGAACATTGAGGTCACAAAGTGTCTGGACCACACTTGAACTGGGGATGGATACTCGGAGTACAACATTCTTCTCGTGTGGGCGAAATCATGTTTCTTTAGGTTCACATGAAGTTTGGGATGCCTTTATTTATTTGTTTGTTCATCTGAAACTGTGGTCATGTTTACTATTTACTGACAGATGCTTGGCACAATTTCAGTGTATGTGTGTAAATCCTGACAAGCACTAATTAAATCTGGTCAACAAAAACCACATTAATTTGCACACCCCACTCACCAGTAGATGGCCTTGGTCACAAAGCTATTGTGGCTGGGAAGTGACTGGCATTAATGAGAGTGTAAGAGGGGTAAAAAATAAAATGATAGAAGCGTTGATTCTCATTTAAGTACTATTTAAATCATTTAGGCTTGCCTTATTAAAAAGTCTGGATATTCTTAGTGGCTTTCATCCTGAGTCAGTGATAGTGTCTTGTGTTCTCTCTGGTGTGTACCAATTCTCACTTGGTAATTTAACAGCATTTTTAACATGAGAAAGGTGAGTTGTACATGTGAATTCACACGTGCATCTCAGTGTCTGACAGTAGCAAACATTAGTTTTATATTCACGTTCTAAAGTACATTTATTGTGTTGATTGTGGATCCTTTCCCTCTTGTCCCAGCATTGTCTGATTAATTCGGAGGCCACATTCAATTTTCTCCAATTTTTAAGGCATGTTTGAGCTTGACCTTACCTTTCCTTCAGGTTATGTTTAGTTAAATATTTTCAGATCTTATGACTGGAAAACTGTTTAGTAGTAAAAGTCATATTATTTGTGACAATAGTGATCATACTCTTTCAAAATTTCACAAGTCCTGTGCTTCTCTTTCTAGTTGGGTGGTTAAACTTGGTTTCTGCCCCATGTGCCTTATTGGCTTCAGGTGGGGCCTTTGTGATTCCTTGCAGGCTGTAGTCACATGATGGCTCCCAGCTTATATGAGGTGGGATACAAGTGTTTGTATTGGGAAGGGTTTTCAGCTTTGTTCTTCTTTTATATGTGGATGTGATAGTTGATCTCTAAGCATTGGGTCCTGAGCAGACCTAGGAAGAGGTACTTAGCTGTTAAAAAACCCCAAGCATTGCCTGTAGAGTTGTGAATTTGTTCTTTGGAGGGAAATGTAGCTGAGCCAAATGAGGCTGCACAGTGAGTACTGACCACAGTAAGGGGTTTCCATCCTTGTCTTTTACCTTGTTTTCCCATTGCTAATGTGGTATTCTTTTGGGTTTTTGCAGTCCTGTCAAATAGGATGGAGGTTGAGTAAGTCACTCTGTATATCTACAGCACTGTTGAAAACAAGCCCTTTGTCACGTCTCTGTCTCTTACGTGTGTTTTGCCTGAACTTATTGATACGTGCTTTTCCTAATATAAGGTCCTGCTATTGAAGTTGATGGGGAAACTGTCATGCATTTTAATGGGAGCAGACTGCAGCTTTTTTGTTGCTTTTGAACTTAGTCTGTTAGAAATAGAGGCAAGCTAAAATTAGACTTGCTGTAGTTTCTCTTGCGTGTTATTTCCTCCCTCCTCTGTTGCCACAGAACAAGACTTTTGATGGTGAGCTTGGTACTGTAGTGCTCGGGATCTGTGAGGGAAAGGAATAGGACAAGCAAAGCAAAGTGCGTGTGTAAGCAAGGTTAGATCACAGTAGCGTCAGGCTGTGAAGATAAGATTGTCCATGTGGAAGAATCTGTCTTTTTGGCTTTGGAAATCATCTATTCCCAGTTTGCTGCTGTTGCATCTGGCAGAAGAGGTGGCATTTCACCAAGGATGCAGCCCTTTGCCTTAAAGATATGGGAGATTTGGTGCATATAGGGAAACAAATGGTTACTTGTATGTTCCTCTAAGTTATATTTTGAGGTTGACAGAAACCCACATAACAAGCTATATTTCTACTCTGATTTGTGTATGAGGGAAGAATCTGAGTTGTCAAGATTAGAGATGAA